TTTTATTCTTTTACTCCTATAAGAAATTATTAGTATTTGAAAACCACCCCGACACGGAAATTGTACTTTAGATGAAAACGCTTTACTAAAAGGGCTAATAACTATGCCGGATGTAAAAGAAATATATAACGAAAATAAAGAATGCAAAATTAGATGGGCTTATCGAAAACAATGATGAGTGCGAATTTTCGGGCATAGCCGACCATGAATACTATCGTTATTAGTATGCTGTTTTTATTAATCCTTTTTTGGTATTCTCCCTTTTTATTTTACCTATAGTAAAATACGATTTATAATTTATTCAAGTTATCGTTCGTGTAAGCGAGATTTTATGTGAATGTTGTCTGTGATACTGTCTATAGAATAAACTCCTAACACTAAATAAAATCGGCCTCTTGGTTGCCTGGTACAGCATATAATTGTGTACCTGTTGACCTCTACCTCCTCTACCTGTACGGCTGGTACGCCTTGTACGGGAATCGGGAGCGGAACTTAAACACAGGAATCATGAAATCCCGGGTGTGAACACTCATTTTTACTTCGTCTTTGTTACACTTCTTTTTACACGGGAACGAATTAACAATTCGGTTTGCTGTGCTCGGATTTCGCGGATGTATATTATTGACGTAACGCGTAACCGTAATCCGAAGCAAACATTATTAAAATAATAATCAATCTTGGTAGCCACAGCGTTTGCCACACTGTAAGAGAATGCGGGGTAAAGGCAAGAAGAAACATAACGAGAAAAATGGAAAACGAGGTAAAAATGGAAAAAATGGCAAAAACAATAACGGTGATAAAAGTAAAGGTGCAAAGAAATCGAGGAAGGGTGGAGGGAGAGCGAAATTCACCATGGACATCTTCAATGAAGAAGTTATGGAAAATGCATATTACACTTGCCACAATATCATGGACGTGTTGAAATGTAGAGGATTTCCTTGGCCAGGAGCTCAAAAGAAGAAAAAGAAGGGAAGAAAGTGAATAGTAATCAGAGTAAAACTAGATGCTGACAAAAATATATATTTTGATTTTTACATGAAACTCTTTATATTTTAAATATTAGAAATATTTGACGTACTCTATGTGTTTCACAGTAATAAAATAGAAAAAACTTTTGTTTGTGAACAACTTATTAACTATATATTATATATTATACACCTAGTAACATCACTTTAATACCATCAGTCATCACATCGTGCTTCTCATAATAGAATACTTTAGAAATTTATCTTAAATTTCCTTCTCTTTCTCCTTGATAAGACGTCTACAATACTGTTCTGTATCAAACGCTTCATGCGCAATCATGAATGGTCCGTTGTATACACAATGCACCGTAACTGTCTCCGCATATTCCAAATTGGGTAATAACTAGATGCAAACATAGCATATTAATATCGTTAATAGATTTCAAATTGTAATAGAAATAAAGATTATTGTAATCAAGTAGAAGTAGACAAAGATCTTCCAGAAAATGATCGTACGTAAATATGGATGTATATTGCTATTCTGGTGGGATTATTAAACTATTTCGTTCATTAATTCATACTTGTCGCAGTATTTATCGTTTATCAGTTGATGATAAAGATCAAATATACGGTTACTTTCCTGAAGATCTAATATTTGAATAAAAATATAAAAATAGCTTACCTTCGGCGTAAGTAAAAAATACTGAGGACTATTGGGTCTACCAGTCATTTTCACGAGTAGATTGAACACTCTTCTTTCATTTGTCGCATCCATGCCCTGTATTAAATAGAAGAAAACTGTTCGTAATGAAATAACGTTTGTCGCGTAAATTAGGATCACCTACTTGATTAATTTCATCGACGCATCGAAAAGGTACTCTCGACAATTCTTGTAGCGATATCATGTAAATGGCAGTGGTCACTGCTCTTTCTCCGCCACTTTGATGGTGCCTCGTCAATTCCTGCAGCTTATCAGTATCTCGGAATTTCACCATTATTTTGAGCCCGTATCGCTCGAAATCCACCTGTAGATGTTAGACATATTATTTTTTCAACTGCACGGGCGATATGTGGTCCAGGTTTTATTTAGCTCGAGTAACTAACGTTGTTCTCCGGTACGGCCAACGTAACTTCACCGGCGCAGCCCATTGCCGAGAAATACATGCCGAAATTTGAATTAATTTTCTCAACTATTGCCGATAACGCTGTCAACCATTGCTCCTGCAAACTTTTAATATCTTGCGTCAACGTTGCATACTCATTCGTTTTTCTTTGAATGAAATCCTTCAAATGACCTATATTTTCTTCGACTTCTTCGTATTGTTGTAATATCTACAACTCGAACAATCAATCAATTATTTATTATATTCTTCTCTACCTATCTATTTGTACATCTATTATATCTATGCATGTGTGTCTTTTATTTTATACTTCACGTAATTGATTCGTGGGACTCACATTTTCACCATCTCCGCTGTTTCCCAAACAAAATACTTTTGCTTGCGCAATATTCAACTCCTTATTAATCTCTTCGATGGTCGGTGGTAATTTAGTAAATATTTTATTTATCTGTTCGAATGCTTTATCGGAAGGAGTGATATTATGAGTAGTTTCCAATGCATCTTTATAAAGCCTTTCTGCCTCGCTCTTCATCGGTTGCGCCTCCTGACTAAGTCGCCTGACATAATCTTCCGCCTCTTTAAGTTTTCCTCTCATATCTTGCAACTCGTTACCTTTCACCCTCAACAATCGTTTATGCATGTTTATCGTTAATTCCGCCTGTTCACTGGTCGTCGTATATTTGAAACATTGTTTCAATACGGCATTATACTCTTTATAAATCTTGAATTCTTTCTCCAGAATCAACTGCGCAATTTAAGATAGCGTCAATTCAATTTATCTGCCCCGATATCTTTTGTTGTATAGAAAAATCACATGTATAAGTGCACGCCGATATTCTACGACGAACCTTTATGTCCTCCCTCGAAGATTCCTGTATTTTCTCGATGCTCGTTCTCGCGTTTTGTAAATCGGCAATCTTTTTCTTCATTACAGATATCCTAGATTTTAGGACCTGTATCTGCTGAAGATCTTGCTGATGTTCATTTTTTTCAGTCTTGTACTTGTCCAATTCGTTGTTATGCTCACGCATTTCTTCGTTGATCTTTTGGATCTCATTCAGTACATTGGCCTTCGTCTCTCGCAATGACCTCAAACTAAACGCGCACGCATGGACACAAACGTTGATAATGATAATGATAATGATAATATAAAGCGATGAGAATAGATCCGTTAAAATATCAACAAACCTTTCTTCGATATGTAACAGTTTCGATCTGTCTAACACAGCAGATAACATTCCCGTAGTCGATATTGGCTGCATCGTGACAGATCTTACTCCTGTATATTTCGATGTCTTTACGGAATACACGTTGCTCTCTGAAACGTGGAACATTCAAATAACCCTCTCTTTCGTCTTGATTGTTGCTATTTAACGACCAATTTACTTACGACTGAAATAAAGATGTAAACTGGTAGGTATATTCTCGGTATTATCGTCAACTTGTGCCGTTCCGATGGGTATGTTAGACAAATTATACATGTTGACTAAATATTTCAAAATAGTGCTCGGTGCTTCTATCAAAGATACCAAGTAATGAGTAAAACCGAATTGCACGATGTGCCGCAGCGGAATATTCGGCTCTGTGGAAACGTGTTTCGTGGGGTCAGAATATACAACGTTCACTTGTAAGTTCTGTCCAGTTCTTAAATAGTTCAATAAGTTGTTCATATCTCGTTTGTCTTCACAAACGAATGCTATTAAATCACGGTACGGAAGTACGTTCTCCAAATATTTTGCGTACTTGGCGTCCTTTACGTTCAAGTTAAGCAATATCGGCTCGTGAATCGTACTACAAAACTTGTCACGGTTCTCTCTCAGCCAATGTACCGCCCTGTATGTGTCGCTACTTTTCTCCCTCAACAATTTAAGTCGTTTCGCTTCGACGCTAAGACGTTGTTGCTCCGATTGTTGTGCTAAACATTCAATTTTATCGTACGTTCACCCATCTAATAACAAGTAATAACCAAAAGAAAAGAAGAAACGTAGCAAAATATTAAACCTTCGATTTCAAAATCCGTTCGTTGTTCTTGTCGTTTTAACATCGTCATTTTTTTTGTTAGCATCGTAATAGTACCATTCTTATCCTCGATCTTGGATAATATCTCTTGTTGCTTCGCTGCCAAACTTTCCTCTGAAAATATAACACGGTTCAATGGATGTTCATATTATGTTTAGATAGCGTCGCATCGATACAGAAAGACGAACCAGATCCAGTTTCTTCTAACATCAGCAATAAATCGTTATCAAGCTTGCTTTTTGACTGTTCCGCAACTTTAATGTCCCGATCCCGAGTTTCTTCCATTTGAATTCTTTTCTTGCACACGTTTTCCCGATCTATTATAGCGCTGTCACAGTCAGCAATATCGTTTATCATGTTCGCCAGTTTTGCAGTTTCGGTCTTCAGTTTATTATTCTAAAATTAGCATTTACATATAAATTAATCAAACTATTATTAATTAGTACTTGAAAGTATACTTATACGTATGCGTGACCGTACATGATTCGAAACAGAGCTTTTAAGTAGTTCAACTTTCGATTTTAATTTCTCTATTACGTCTTCAAAAGGTTTTATTTCCTCTTCCATACGTTTCAGTTCAGACGTAGCAGCCACTTTTTTCTTTTTCAACTATAATAATATAGTGAACTTTTAATTATTAAACTTTTAATTGCGTGTCTATTATAATTTTTTATCATTATTGTTAATTATTACCTTAAGTAGTTCTTTTCGTTTCTGCTCATACAATATCCATGCTTTCTTTTGCTTCAAAGCGGTAATCTTTTTCTTTATTAATTTTTTCTCTTTTATACTGTCAACAGTTTCCTTCAAACTTTCGTATACTTGAGTTTGCGTTTCCAACGCTTTCTTCTTTACTTCAATATGTTTTTCAAGCTCTTTGTGATCCACTCTGGACTGTATCAACCTTTTATGGTGTTCCAAAATCACAGGATCCCCAACCGATCTTTCTGTGTTTTCCAATAATTCCTGAGGATTCATTTTTGAAAAGTCTTGTACTTTGTCTTGCGGTAGGAATTGACAGAGATTATCCACCTGGGATCAAAAAGATGTTAACGATAGTTGCGAGTTATGAATACATTTAAAGATAATTTTTCATCCAACTACCTGGATATCCAAACTTGTCGTTAACTCTTGTATTTCCTTTATATTCGAAGGTTTTTTATTGAGGAACCATGAAGATTTCCCTTGCTTATTAAATACTCTACGAATAATGTTATCATTCTGCTTTTTGTTTTTCAGATGAATTTCAATTGTCGCTTCCTGGCATCCATATTTCACATAATGCCCGATCTGAGTTGCACGGCCAATGGTGCTAGGTTTACCTCCCAATCCAAGTACAATAGCACAAACAATTGTTGATTTACCAGTGCCATTTGGTCCGATAATAACGTTCAAGTATCTGCCAGGCTTTACAGAAACTTTGCTGTAAGTTCTGTAACAGAAAACACAGGAAAATGGAATATAGTAGATGAATGGATGGATGTACGTACATACGATACATGTCTTATAAGAAATTGAACAATTTATTTAAATTAATGCTTACACGAAATTTTCCAAATAAATATGAGTAATCATTCCTGTATCAACGCAACCATCAGCCATCGTGATATATTTTGTATATGTAATAAAATAACAGAAAACTTTCGGGGCTGACAAAATGCGACGAGACTGGTAACCAAGCCGAATTTCCAGTGTTCCCGCTCATGCGCCCATATTCCCGCCTGTTTCCGCCTAGGTTGCCATGCTGGATTTGCAGATTCAGAAATTTAATGCACTTATTTTGATTTTTCGCTACTGTGTGGCGACACTTTTCGCTTAACAAAAATAGGTTAGGGAACAATTCTGTTTAGTGGTGTTCTTCCTCTTTTCTACTTATATCGTTCATATATCAATATAGATTTAAACGAATGTACATATTTAATTACTTTAACGTATAGAAATAAATGAAATAGTTACTATTTGTTTCTAATCTAATACCGTTAAAATGTTCGTACTTTTATAATGACGAGAAGATACTGTTCCGATTGCTCCATCTGAGACAAAATTTAGTGTTGCCATTGTACTATCTTATGACCAAACTGCTAAATAAATAATTACTGTTTAAAAAAGAAAAAGAGAAAAGTTAATCATAAATTATCAGAGAAACATCTGTAAGTCGCAAAATATTGGACGTCGATCAATTGAAAGGTATAGTATAATTACGAGGATTACGAGGATTACGTTGATGATCAACTTTTGTGTTTTAAACGAATTACAGAATTTATCATTTGAATTCCTGAATTCGGTCTGTCTCACCTTACTAGTTATACAGAAATAAAAATATTCTGTATTTGATTATGTATTTATACGATCTTCATTCTGAACTTCGTACAATTTTTCTTCCACATTTTATTAATTATTTTTCTTAAACAATCTTGATTAACAATTTCAAACAACACAATGTCTTGAAAATAAAATAGCCCATACTTTATGTTGTACTTTTACAATATTTATTCTGAAGTTTATATTATCTTTTTCTGTATTTT